AATTCTTCACCACATAGATTTACCCCTGCAGTAAACAAAATAGTATGAATACTGGGATAGGAATAAAGATAGCAATAGGACAGGATAGAATTTACAAACAGAATTCACTCAATGAGGTTTTGTGGATTATCCCTCATAGTAGGAGCCATGTAATTTACAAAACATCTCAGTGTGATACCCCTGGAGGTCATGAGGATTATGCGGCTGTTGTGGGGGAGCCATGCTTTATAGGTTATATGTTTATTTACTGTAAGAAGTCTGTAGCCAAGCATGTCCTTTTAAGGGCATGAGCTAGGAAAGGACTCTCAACCTAGAAAATGTCATTAGTTTATTTCAAGAATCAGGAAATGTTTCTGTAAATATTTTATGCTTTATGGGCTATATGGTCTCTGGCATATCTACACAACTCAGCCATTACAGCAGAAAAGCAGCACAGCCAACACATAAGCAAGCAGGTGTAAATGCCTACCACGAAACTTTATTTACAAAAACATACTGTTGGCCAGTGGGCTAGAGTTTTCCTGCCCCTGTTCTGTTTACTTGAAGGTCCAGTTGGAAGACATTAGGTAAGGTCACTTGTTCCTTTCGTTTTCTGGGTTTTCTTACTTGTTTGTTTTCCCAGAGAGTATTTCCCTATGCTCCACACACACACACACAGTCACTTGCAGGCCAGTTGTTTAACTTCTTCCTCCCCAGCTGCCATTAATAGTAACTTCAAAATAAATAACTTAAAAGAATAGAAATCTATCATGCAAAAGAAATCTTGAACAGGCCTCCTGGGCTGGCATTGCAGCTCTGAGGTTCCCTGAAGTACAGGCTCCTCCCTAATCACCGTTTCACAGTGCAGAATGGCAAGAAGAGCCATCAATATGTCCTGGACAGCAGGATTGAGGATGGGGAGAAGAAGGATGTCATCTTTTTATTCAGTTTTATTTTATTGTGGTAAGAGATAGACCCGCTGAACACAATCCAGTATTGTTGACAACTGGCACGATGTTGTGCAGCAAAGCTCTAGAACTTATTCATCTTACATAATTGAAACTTCACACCCATTGATTAGAAATTTCCTGTTGCCATCTCTCCCAACACCCAGCCTGCAGTGACCACCATACTACCCTGATTCTGTGAGTTTGACTATTTTTGATACTTCGTACAAGTGGAATCATGCATTATTCTTCCAATGGCTAGCTTATTTCACTTAGCATAATGTCTTCAAGGTTCACCCATGTTGTCTTAGATTGCAGGTTTTCTTTCTTTGTTAAGGCTGAATAATATTTTGTTGTATGCCACATTACATTAAAAGAGAAGAGAAAAAGAGGAGAGTGAAGAGGAGAATGAGGAGAGAGAGCGGAGGAGAAGAGAGTGAGCCACATTTTCTTTATCTGTTCATCCATCAACAGACATTAGGTTGTTTCTACATCTTGGCTGTTGTGAATAGTGCTGCTGTCTACAGTGGGTGCTGATAAGTACATATGTCCTCAAAATCCTGATTTCAGTTCTTTGGGGTGAATATGCAGGAGTAGGATTGCTGGATTATATGGTAGTTGGAACTACTGATACTCTTTTCTATACCATTTTGCCTTCTCACTAGGAATGTACAGTTTTTCCACTTTCTCACCAGCACTTAATGTCGTTTGGGTTTTTTGGGGTTTGTTTTATAATAGCTATCTTAACCGGTGTGAGTTAATATTTCTTTGTGGTTTTGGTTTACATTTCCCTGATAATTAGTGACATTAAGCATCCATTTGTTACTGTGGTCGATTTGTATATCTTTGGAGAAATGTCTATTGAAGTCTTTAGTCCACTTTTTAATTGGGTTGTTAGTCTTTTGCTATTGAGTTGTGTGGGTTCCTTACATGTTTTGAATTTTTTTTTTAGTTTAACCCCCTGTCAGATATGTAGTTTGCAGGTATTTTCTCCCATTGTACAGGTTGCCTTTTCAATGTGGTGACTTGTTTCCTTGCAGAAGCTTTTTGGTTTAATGTAGTCCCACTTACCTATTTTTGCTTTAGTTACCTGTGCTTTTGGTGTCATAGCCATGAAATTGGTGCCAAGACCAACATCATGGAACTTTTTTCTTCCAGGACCTTGTTTTCTTCCAGGACTTTTATAGTTGTATGTCTTACGTTTAAATTTGTAACCCAGCTAGGTGAGATGGCTCATGCCTGTAATCTGGGAGGCCAAGGCAGGTGGATTGCCTGAGCTCATGAGTTCGAGACAGACTGAGCAAGAGCAAGACCCATCTCTAAAAATAGCTGGGTGTTGTGGTGGGCACCTGTAGTCCCAGCGACTTGAGAGGCAAGAGGATCACTTGAGCCCAAGAGTTTGAAGTTGCTGTGAGCTATGATGCCATGGCCCTCTACCCAGGGTCACAGAGCACCAACTCTATATCCAATAATTAGAGAAAAATATACTTTATTTCCTAGCACACATTTGTGAAAATTAATCATGTATTGGTTTACAAATCCAATCTTAATAAATTTTAAAGAATCAGAATCTACAGGCCAAGTTCTCTTGGCCACATTAAATTAGAAGTCAGAAATAAGAGAATTTTTTAGACATCTGTAGTAAATTAGGGGAATACTAGCTACTCTACATTTTACTTACTACCTTAAACCGGTAGACTTTTGTTGTTTGCATGATAGTCGCATGTGGTTACCCTGGTCAGTAAGGGACTTGCCCCCAAGAAGGGATTCACACCAACTCCTTCCCAAGTGTGCCTCCTCTATCCTCCTAGGGCCTTAATGTCTTTATTTAACTATTCAAGCTTATTCTAATCCTTTTATTATCAATTTTGATAACATTTTTCTGAATTATTTTCATTTCATCTAAATTTTTAGATGTTTTGACATAATATATAATATTCATAGTATTCTCAATTTTTAAGAATCTCAGCTAAATCTAGGCGGCACCTATAGCTCAGTGGGTTGGGGGCCACATACACCGAGGCTAGCAGGTTTGAACCCCAGCCTGGCCAGCTCAAACAACGACAACTGCCACAACAACAACAAAAAAATGGCTGGGCATTGTGGCAGGCACCTGTAGTCCCAGCTACTTGGAAGGCTGAGGCAAGAGAATCACTTGAACCCAAGAATTGGAGGTTGCTGTGAGCTGTGACACCACGGCACTCTGCCCAGGGGGACAACTTGAGACTCTGTCTCAAAAAAAAAAAAAAAAAAAAATCTCAGCTAAATCTATAGTTAATATCATCGTCTTTGGCCCAAATAGTTTTTCTTTGTCCTCTCTTCTCATTTTCTTAATCTGTCTTGCCAAAGATTATTAGTCTTTTCAAAGAGCTATCTTTTGACTTTGTTGAGGTTTCTGTTGTATATATGTGTGTTTTATCTTTTATTTTTAAATTTTGCTTTTATCATTATTATCACCTTTCTGCTTCTAACACAAGTCTGATTAAGTTGCCTAGCAAAACTGGTCTAAAGAAAATGACCTAAATCTAGTTTTCTTTTTTTTTTTTTTTTTTTTGAGATAGAGCCTTAAGCTATCCCCCTAGGTAGAGTGCTGTGGTTTCACAGCTCACAGCAACCTCCAACTCCTGGGCTCAAGCGAGTCTCCTGCCTATGCCTCCCAAGTAGCTGAGACCACAGGCGCCCGCCACAACGCCTGGCCATTTTTTGGTTGCAGCTGTCATTGTTATTTGGTGAGTCTAGGCTGGATTCGAACCCGCCACCTTAGGTGTATGTGGCTGGCGCCTTAACCACTTGAGCCACAGGCGCCGAGCCTAAATCTAGTTTTCTTTGCCAACCAAATTAATTTGCACCTAAATATTAGTTACATTTAGAAAATTTTATTCTATAAACACAGTTGAGATAGTTGTTGCATTATTTTATATTTCTTGAGATCCTTTCTGTTGACTGTAATATTCTAGGACTTCTGTTGTAATAGAATTCTTACACACACTAGATTAAGCTAAAAAAGGGAACATAACATTCATGTGGTTGGGAAGTCAGGTGTAGCTGGGCCATGCCTTCTTCTCAGCCTGCTTCATCCTCGGGTAGCCTTTCCTAATATAGTGACATGATGACCACCAGCCAGGCTTGCATCTTATAAGCCTAGCACCCTCAAGGAAGAAGAATCCAACACCAGGGGCTCCAGCACAAGTTTGAGGATTGACTGTTTCAGCCTACGCCCACCCCACAACCAGTCACTGGGAGAGAAGGGGCATCACCTGTCAACTCCAGTCAATCTACATGGCTGAGAATGGGGGGGAGATGGTTCCCCAATAAATGAGTCTATAAGTATGTGAAAAAGAGAATGAAATGAGGCACAGGGCCTAGGTAAGCAAAGAGTAATGTTACTAGGTAGATGCTGACCAGGCAAGAGTGCTTGCTATCCACTGAGTCGTAGTCAATGTTGAATCAGCTCAACAAAAGAGCAAAGCTTGGTTATTCCATCAAGAGGTTCAGGAAAAGCTACTGGGAGTAGACATGTCAAGAGACCCCGGGAGGGGAAAGTGGGCTGGGGATAGTCGCAGTGATAACTTCTCTCCACCTGGTGTAGTTTTGTCATCCACTTGACAGTATTGTAGGAGCCCTGCCATGCTCTACCTTACATTTCTGCCATCTGAAATTTCACCTTTAAAGAATTGTCTTTTTCATTATGGTTCTATATATCCAGGATTCCCAGTGGTGACTATTACCACTAGTCATATGTAGCTATTTAAATTTAAATACAAATTAGTCTGGTGCAATGATTCACACCTATAATCCTAGCACTGGGAGGCCAAGACAGGAGGATCACAAGAGGCCAAGAGTTTAAGACCAACCTGAGCAAAATAGCAAAACCCTATCTCTATAAAAAAATTGAAAAATTAGCCAAATGTGTCCAACACCTCTAGTCTCAGCCACTCAAGAGGCTGAGGCAGGAGGATTGCTTGAGCTGGGGGATTTAAGGTTGCTGTGAGCTATGATGATGCCACAGCACTCTAACCTGGGCAGCAGACCAAGACGCTATCTCAAATATAAATATGTTTAAATTAATTAAAATTAAATTTAATGATTTCAGTTTCTCATTCATACTGACTTTGTTTCAAGTGCTCGGTAGGCACAGGTGGCTGCCAGATTGGAGAGCTCCAATGTGGAACATCTGTACCATTATAGAAAGTTGCATTGAACAGTGGAGGCGTTAACTAGTAATTGTTGTTATTAGTGTCTTCTAGTGACAGTTACTCGAAAGAATTGGATGAGAAATTTTGATGACAGAGAAAATAAGAAGAGTTACCTGGGACTATCCCCTGATCTCATTTCCACTTCCATAAAAGATTTCAGCTCCATCCCAACTTTGCTCTGGATGTCCAGATGGGACAGTCTCTGCCTCACAGAGCTGGCATCCCTGGCGATCTTTTTGAAGCAAGCGCATAAGGGCAGACAAGGACTATAGACCCAGGAACTGTCCTCTGAGAACAGCCATGCTTAGGGGAAAGGCACAGGAGAGGCCACTGGTGCCTGAGCCCTCAAGGAGTGTGTCAGCCAGGGCAGTCAGTGCCCATTAATGTCACATGTCATAAATTTTTGCCCCGTGCCATGCACTTGACCATCTTTCAAGAAGCTCATTTTTTCTTTTTCCTTTTCAGACCAATCCCTCTTTGTTCTGTTGTTGTAATAAACAGCCAACTTGATAAAGTCGAAGAAAGGAAATTTTTTGTTTCCTGTAGTGTTCAAAGTGTTGATGAGAAGACCCTGTACTCAGAAGCAACAAGTAAGAACCTGCTATTGTCCCTTTTGATAGGTCAGGTTGGTTAGGAGTTTTATTAGTTTGCTTTTAATTTGGGGTTTGGAGGGGGCATTCATTTGGTTTGGTTTGGTTTTTTCTTTGGTTTTATAACCCATATATAGCCAGAAATTCTTATTTGGTTTTGTTTCATTTTCTTTGAGACAGGGTCTTGCCCTGTGGCCCTGGCTAGAATGAAATCGTCATTGTTCACTGCAGCCTCAAATTCCTGGGTTTGAGCTATCCTTCTACCTCAGTCTTCTAAGTAACTGAGACAATAGGCACATGACACCATGCCTAGCTAATTTTTCTCTTGTTGTTAATATTTTTTTCTTTTTGAGTCATTGTCTTACTCTGTTGCCTCAGGCTAGAGTGCTGTGGCACCATCATAGCTCATAGCAACCTCAGACTCCTGGGTTCAAGTGATCCTCCTACCTTCCCCTCCCAGTAGCTGGGACTATAGGTGGCTGCCAGAATGCTGGCTAATTTTTCTATTTTTAGTAGAGACAGGGTATTGCTCTTGCTCAAGCTGGTCTCAAACTCCTGAGCTCAAGCAATCTACCTGCCTCAGCACCCCCCAGAGTGCTAGGGTTACAAGCATAAGCCACTGTGCCCAATCCCAATTTTTCTATTTTTTGTACAGACGGGATCTTGCTCTTGCTCAGGCTGGTCTCAAACTCCTGGCTGGAAGTGATCCTCCTGCCTCAGCCTCCCAGGGTGTTAGGATTAAAGGCCTGAGCCATCATGCCTAGACTCAGAAATTCTTTTTTTTATTTTGAAACAGAGTCTCACCATGTCGCCAACTCTTGGGCTTAAGTGATTTTTTTGCCTCAACCTCCCAAACAGCTTGAACTACAGGTGCCCGCCACAATGCCCAGCTATTTTTTTGTTGCAGTTGTCATTCTTGTTTAGCAGGCCTGAGCCAGGTTCCAACCTGCCTGCCTTGGTGTATGTGACTACGGGCTCAGAGCTACAGGTGCTGAGCCCCCTCAGAAATTCTTAATTCTCTGTCATTTAAAGTTAAAGGTATTCTTATACGTTGGGCTATTTACCAATTTCTATCAAAATTACAGATTTATGGCTCGGCACCTGTGGCTCAAGTGGCTAAGGTGCCAGCCACATACACCTAAGGTGGCGGGTTCGAATCCAGCCCAAGCCCGCCAAACAACAATGACGGCTGCAACCAAAAAATAGCCAGGCGTTGTTGTGGGCGCCTGTAGTCTCAGCTACTTGGGAGGCAGAGGCAGGAGACTCGCTTGAGCCCAGGAGTTGGAGGTTGCTGTGAGCTGTGATGCCATGGCACTCTACCCAGGGGGACAGCTTGAGGCTCTGTCTCAAAAAAAAAAAAAAAAAAGAAAAAATTACAGATTTGTGTGCCCTTTGACCCACTTCCAGGACTTGATCTAAGTGTGCAACATCATAGTGTATCAGGTTGGATTGCTGTGGGTCCTAGTAATTGTATTACTCATCCAACATTATTTATAATAGCAAAAGATTGACAAAATAAATATCTACCAATAGGAGAAAGAACTACAGCTCCTCTATAAATTATACTGTGTGTGTAAAAAAAGTTGTGGTGCCATCAGTAAGGACAAGGAAGGTCTTTGACATGGAGCTATCTCATTGACAACAGCCCAGCACAGTGTCAGAGCCAGAGTGGAGTGAGGTGTCTGCACAGGGAGTGGCCCAGGCAGGGCGTCAGAGCCCACGCAAAGGAAGGAAGGAGTGGCATGTGTGCCAGAGCCCATGCCGAGTGTGGCATCTGCAGGGCTGACAGCAGTGCTCGGGGCCAGATCTCCACTGTCAGAGACAGGAATTAGAAAGAGACTATGCAATGGGCCCTGTGGTGTTAGATGGGGCCTGGGAACTTTAGACACGTATATTTTTCTAGTCTTTTGCTCTTGCAAATAATGTGATCAATAACTTCATATATTATAATTTTGCATACATTTTGGAAAGTAACTCTATAATGGTTTAAGGGGAAGGATATCTTTGTACTAGCGTCACAATTTTTTGTTAGCTTAAATTGTTTAAAAATGCAAAGTTATAAATGAGAATGAGGGGAAGGTAAATGTTTGTATTTGTGTGCACAAACTGTCTCAAGGATGTCACACACCTGACTTGTTATTTCAATGTTGGTTACCACATCTGCCTTGTATAATGTGCTCCTGTATATAATGTGCACTCACGACTTTGGCCCAAACTTTCAGGAAAAAAAAAATTTTCGTTTTAATTTTTTAATTTCCTTGCTTATTTTTTATTTCTTTGCTTTTTGTTGTTGTTTCTGTTGTTGAGGCAGAGTCTCACCCTATGCCCTGCACAGAGTGCAATGGCATCATAGCTCACTACAACCTCAGACTCAGGCTGTGGGCATCTCACTGTCTCAGCCTCCGGAAGCCACTATTTTTTTGTTGTTGTTGCAGTTTGGCCGAGGCTGGGTTCGAACCCTCCACCCTCGGCATATAGGACCGGTGCAGGGACCACCCTATTTACAGAATTTTTTTTTTTTTTTGCAGTTTTGGCCAGGGCTGGGCTTGAACCCGCCACCCCTGATATATGGGGCCAGCACCCTACTCACTGAGCCACAGGCGCCACCCTATTTACAGAAGTTTTTATTAGTTTTATTAGATTTTTTACCCTTATAACTAGTGCTTTTTGTGTCTTGTTTAAGAAATTGGTTTGTCAGCTCGGCACCTGTGGCTCAAGTGGCTAAGGCGCCAGCCACATACACCTAAGGTGGTGGGTTTGAATCCAGCCCAGGCCTGCCAAACAACAATGATGGCTGCAACCAGAAAATAGCCGGGCGTTGCCGTGGGCGCCTGTGGTCCCAGCTACTTGGGAGGCAGAGGCAGGAGACTCGCTTGAGCCCGGGAGTTGGAGGTTGCTGTGAGCAGTGATGCCACAGCACTCTACCCAGGGGGACAGCTTGAGGCTCTGTCTAAAAAAAAAAAAAAAAGGAACTGGTTTGTCTCCTAAGTATCAGCTGTTTGCAGGAGTGATGAATAAAAGGAGCAGGAGGAAGAGAATTTGAACCCACAGTCGATTTAAGAATCCCATTCCAGGTGACAGTTGTACCCCTGTCTCACTGAACCTTTCAGTATCATAAAGGTGCCAGACAGCACAGTTGTGATTTTACTTCTTTTCCTTTTGCTGTCTCTAACGGAAGTGGTAATGAACCATGAAATGGCCAAGCGAAGATGGTTACCCAGGGAGAGGTGGAATAGTATTTTGATAGTTGAAAGTTGATTCTTAATTTAGCTGAAAAGTGAGAGTAGGCAAGTAGACTATAGGTGCTGGTATGAACCCAGTGCCTTCCTTTATACATGTCTATTCAGAGTCCCATCAGAGTGCAGTCAGTTGATTTATACTCATCTTCTGTTATTTTTTTGTGTAGGCTTATTTATAAAGCTGGATCCTGATAAAAGTCTGACATAAGAGCTGCTGGTGAATTCCACGCCATTCTGCATAAGGTGCTCCCTCCAGAGGAAGCAGTTGTCGGCCCTTCTGCTCTGCTCACCCACTGCTGAATCCCCAGAGGGAAAGTCCTGTAACACTGACCTCCCTGAACAGTCTCCTGAATAAATACTCCAGGAGTTCAGTTTCCACTTTCTAAACTTTTTAACACAGAAATGCTCCCAGCGAGAGTATCAGCAGTTTTTTGTGTCTCCTTAGGGCAGTAGTTCTCAACCTTCCTAATGCCATGACACATTAATACAGTTCCTCATGTTGTGGTGACCCCCAACCATAAAATTATTTTCATTGCTACTTTATAACTGTAATTTTGCTACTGTTATGAATCTAATGTAAATATCTGATATGCAAGATGTATTTTCATTGTTAAAAGGGGTTGTGACCCACCGATTGAGAACCACTGCCTTAGGGTATGTGTTTCTGGTTCTCCTGAGATTCACATGGTTCCTTACAGCTGCACAAGTGTAGTCTGTCCCACTGCACATTGAAGTAGAAATACTGTGTTGAAACTTTTTTTTTGTTTTGTTTAAGAGACAGAGTCTCACTTTGTCACCTTCGGTAGAGTGCTGTGGTGTCACAGCTCACAGTAACCTCCAACTCCTGGGCTTAGGCGATTTTCTTGCCTCAGCCTCCCGAGTAGCTAGGACTACAGGCACCCGCCACAACACCCAGCTATTTTTTTGTTTGTTTGTTTGCAGTTTGGCCAGGGCCAGGTTTGAACCCACCACCCTCGGTATATGGGGCTGGCGCCCTACTCACTGAGCCACAGGCACCACCCTTGTTTCTTTTTTTAGGCAGTCTTACTCTGTTGCCCAGGCTAGAGTGCCATGGTGTCAACATAGCTCACAGCAACCTCAAACTCCTGGGCTCAAGTGATCCTCCTGCTTCAGCCTCCCAAGTACTGGGACTACAGGTGCCTGCCATAACACCCAGCACATTTTTCTATTTTTAATAGAGATGGGGTCTCACTCTTGCTCAGGCTGGTCTGAAACTCCTGAGCTCAAGCAGTCCTCTTGTCTCAGCCTCCTAGAGTGCTAGGATTACAGGCACAAGCCACTGTGCCCAGCCCTTGTGTTGAAACTTACTGTAAACACAGAAATGCTAGAAAACCAAATGAAGGAGTAATACTGCAGATGTTACAAACCAGCTTTGTTGTACCTGAATAAACAAATATTTTTTGTTCAGAGTAGGAAACACAGCTAGTTCCTATAGGAATGAATACCTCAGGTCTGTCCTCTGGGATTCTGAATATGCACCATTTCTGTCACAGGCTGGGCTGTTGCGTCTTTCCCCACAGTATAGCCATCATCACAGAAGGGGCCTGTGTTACTTTCCTAGGGCTGCCAAAACCAAGTGCCACAAAACTAGGCAGTTTAAACCAGCAATAACTCCTTGTCTCACAGTTCTAGAGGCCACAAGTCCAAAATCAAGGTGTCAGTAAAGCCGTTTTCCCAGGTGCTAGGGATGGAGCTGTTCTGTGCTTCTCCTGGTTCCTGGCAGCTTCCTTGGCTTACAGCTGCGTCACTCCAGCTGTGCTGTCCATCTTCACAAGTAACCCCTGTGTGCCTTCACACCATCTTCCCTCTGTGCGTATCTGTCTCTGTGTCCAGATTTCCCCTTGTCACAAGAACACCAGTCATATTGGGGGGGCCCACCTGAAGAACCTAATTTTAACTTGGTTACCTCTGTGAAGATGGTATTCCAAATAAGGTCACATCATGAGGTGCTGGAAATTAGGACTTCAACTTTGGGGAGGGCACAATTCAGGTAAGATTAAAAATGAGTGAGTGGGCTTGGCGCCTATAGCTCAAGTGGCTAAGGCGCCAGCCACATACACCAGAGCTGGCAGGTTCAAATCCCGCCCCAGCCCTACCAAACAACAATGATGACAACTACAACCAAAAAAAGAAAAAATAGCCGAAGGCTGTGGCAGGCGCCTATAGTCTCAGCTACTTGGGAGGCTGAGGCCAGAGAATCACTTAGGCCCAAGAGTTTGAGATTGCTGTGAGTTGTGACACAACTGCACTCTACTGAGGGTGACACCTTGAGATGCTGTCTCTAAATAAATAAATAAATTTCTTAAAAAAAAAAACTGAATGAATGAGGAAACTAATGTTCTAGAAAACTTATTCATTTTGCTTCCTAATTCAGGTAATAGATTTTCTGGGCTTCAGTTTCTTGCCTTTCTTTCCCTTAACTAAAAGTTTAAGTCAAACCATATGAAGTCATTTTTGAAGGTCAGAATGGTCAAGTATTGGCTCAGCACCTATGGTTCAAGTAGCTAAGGCGCCAGCCACATATACCTGAGCTAGCAGGGTTGACTCCAGCCCAGGCCCACCAAAAAACAGCAGGACGTTGTGGTGAGTGCCTATAGTCCTAGCTACTTCAGAGGCAGAGGCAGGAGAATCACTTAAGCCCAGGAGTTAGAGGTTGCTGTGAGCTGTGATGCCACAGCCCTCTACCCAGGGTGACAACTTGAGGCTCTGTCTCAAAAAAAAAGACAATTTGGGGTGATGCCTGTGGCTCAGTGAGTAGGGCATCGGCCCCATATACCAAGGGTGGCAGGTTCGAACCGGGCCCTGGCCAGCTACAACAGCAATGAGAATTGCAACAATAACAACAGCAACAACAACAACAAAAATAGCCAGGCGTTGTGGAGGGCATCTGTAGTCTCAGCTACCCAGGAGGGTCAGGCAAGAGAATCACCTAAGCCCAGGAGTTAGAGGTTGCTGTGAGCAGTGATGCCACAGCACTCTACCAAGGGTGACAAAGTGAGACTCTGTCTCAAAAAAGACAATTTGCTTCAATATAAAAGAAATTTTGAATATCAGATCACTAAACATAGATCCTTACAAAGCCCCGAGTAACAACCCACTGTGTTGCCTCTTTTTGCCTGCCTACCCTGGCATGGAGGCCTTCCGCTGTCTGTGGTGAATGGATCCTGCTTTGTGAGCTTTCTTACTCTGTAAGCCTATCGTTCTCTTCCTTGAATAAATGTTGTTTCCTGCTTACCTTGAAAAAAAAAAAAAGCAGTGTATGTATGTTGAAGTTGTAGGATCTAATTCAAAATAAGATGTAGAAATGGTAATAAGGTAAGCAATGACAGTACCTTGTCACATGTAAACCTAAAGCTAAAAAATAAGGATGTGGTGCCATAAGCAAAAAGTTTCAATCAAAGAAAAGCTACAATAGTTAAAAGTGATTAAATCTGTGGAAGTTGAAGTTGGGGAAGGAATGTAGCTTTTAGTAATCGTTTCCACAAGGCTTGACTCTAACCTGCATGCAACTACTACATCAATAAAAATTAAAACTGAATTTTTTTTTTTTTGAGACGGAGCCTCAAGCTATCCCCCTGGGCAGAGTGCCATGGCATCACGCTCACAGCAACCTCCAACTCCTGGGCTCAAGCGAGTCTCCTGCCTCAGCCTCCCAAGCAGCTGGGACCACAGGCGCCCGCCACAACGCCTGGCCATTTTTTGGTTGCAGCCATCATTGTTGCTTGGCGGGCCCGGGCTGGGGATTCGAACCCGCCACCTTAGGTGTATGTGGCTGGCGCCTTAGCCGCTTGAGCCACAGGCGCTGAGCCAAAACTGAATTTTTAAAGTAGTACATACCTCATAGGGATGCTGTGGGGCTTAAAAGAGTAATTCATGTCCAGCTCTTTTGTAAGTATTCAGTAGATATATGTCTGTATCCCCAAGTATAAAAGTGAACACTCCCATCCTTATGGAAAAGACAAAATTCACGGACACTTGGCTTCTGCAACCAGGGCTGGGCTCCTTGCTTGGGTAAGGAGACTTGGGCTGTGATTTACACCCTCTGGCTATGGGAGAGCTTGGTAAGTATTGGTACTTTCTGGTAGCTCCTCATCCTGCCTAGACAGCCTCCAAGGAGTCCTCCAACAGCCTGTGATCTGTCAGTGTTTGTTACAGTGAAAGAAAGTCAGAGCCTGGGCTGGGAGATTGATGCCCAGTCCTGCCTCTGTGCCACTGGGCTAGCGAGGCTGCCTCTGAGCTCCATGTTTCTTCATCTGTAAGATGGAGGTGACACTAGTCCCTACTTCCAAGGGTTGTCATGGGATGAAGTGAGTCAACAAATGTAAAATGCTTAGAAGCGTACCTGGGACCATAGTGCCACACACAGGCCTGCTGTCATGGCCACTGCCGTCCCTGCCATGCTGGTGTGGAGCCAGGTCAGCGGGTACCTGGGACCACAGTGCCACACACAGGCCTGCTGTCATGGCCACTGCCGTCCCTGCCATGCTGGTGTGGAGCCAGGTCAG